CTGAGGAACATGCTGACGAGTCTCGCCAGCATGTCACGTTTGGCAGTTGAGTTACTCCTTAAGATCCAAACTGACAGTGAGGACTCAGATGATGATATCGACTCGAGTAATGCATACGACAAGAGATTGCTTGTGGGATTCACGGACATGCTCATCACCATGGAATGCCGCTTTTGGGCTCAGGAAACAAGCACTGAGTGGTGAGATCACATCGTCATGCAAGTCTGGGATGATGAGCAGTGGCTATAGAACTTTTGGATGAGAAAAGCCACTTTCATGGGACTGTGTGAGGAGCTCGCCCCACCCTGCAGCGCAAGGACATGAGATTGAGAGCTGCCCTGACGGTGGAGAAGTGGATGGCTATTGCAGTCTGGAAGCTGGTAACTCCAGACAGCTACCGATCGGTCGCTAACCAGTTTGGAGTGGGGTAGTCGACCGCTAGAATCGTGTTGATGCAAGTTTGCAGGGCCATTAATCACATCCTGCTTAGAAGAACCATGATTCTGGGTAACGTGCATGACATTGTGGCTGGCTTTGCACAAATGGGTTTCCCTAACTGCGGAGGGGCGATAGATGGAACGCATATTCCAATTCTGGCACCAGACCACCTAGCCTCCGAGTACATTAATTGGAAGGGGTATTTCTCTGTGGTTCTCCAGGCACTTGTGGATCACCGTGGGTGTTTCATTGACATTAACGCAGGCTGGCCCGGAAAGGTGCATGATGCACGCATCTTTCGGAACACTGGCCTGTTAAGGAAGCTGCAAGCCGGGACTTTTTTCCCAGACCAGAAGATCACTGTAGGGGAAGTCAAAATGCGCATTGTGATCTTTGGAGGCCCTGCTTACCCTTTAATGCCGTGGCTCATGAAACCCTACAGAGGGAGCCTTGACAGCAGCAAGGAGCGGTTCAACAACAGGCTGAGCTGGTGCAGAATGACTGTGGAGTGTGCTTTTGGTCGTTTAAAGGGCAGCTGGCACTCTCTGTATGGGAAGCTGGACCTGGCCCATGACAGCATCCCCGTGGTTATATCCATGTGCTGTACCCTCCATAACATTTGTGAAGGGAAGGGTGAAAGATTCACGCAGGCATGGAACTTGGAAGTTCAACACCTGGAGGCTGAATCTGAACAGCCAGAGAGCAGGGCTATTAGAGGGGCCCAGCATGGGGCTGCAAGGATTAGGGATGCCTTGAGGGAGCAATTTGAGGCTGAAAGCCACCAGTAATGTTTGGTGCCCTGCACGGGAGTGAAGTGCAATGGTTCCAATGTTAGTAGGAATCTGTGTTTGCTACACTGACTTGCAGTGCCTGTTTCTTTCCTGGGCTAAGGTATCTTTTACTTTATGCAATAGTAAAGAATGTTTTCAAAGCCAAAAATCCATTTATTGAAAAGAAACACAACTGCTTGGGAAACAGAAAGGGCAAGGGGGTGGGGTGGGGAATGGTACAATCACAGATTTGTGTATGTCCTGTTATCATACTCAGTCTTCCTGTCTGGAGTACTGTGCAAGGAGTGCTGCACTTCAGGCTGGCTAAAATGCATAGTGATTGGGGTTGAGTGCAGTGGGTAAGGGTCATAGTTTTGAGGGCTGGATGGTGAAGCTACAGGTGTTGCAGGCAGCTGGTGGTGATAAGAACCCGGATGTTGAGGAAAGTGGGTTGGAGGTGACATTGGAGCACAAGGGAAAGAGTTTTGGGACAAGGGCTGGGGGGGGGGGAGGCGGTAGTGCTCCACCTGCATGGCTATGAGTGCCTCCCTGGATCGAGTCTACTTGGCACTCCATGATGCTTATCAGCCGATCCATACTTTGCTGATGGAGCTCTGCGCTTTTGTGTTGGCGCTCCTCATTCTGCTGGCGAATACTCCTTTCACTCTGCCTCCATTCCTGTGCTTTTAGATTATTGTTAAGGGACTGCTGCATTACTTCATGTAGCATGTCTTCTTTGCTTCTCTGTGGCCTCTTCCTAATTCTTTGGAGTCTTTCGGCCGGTGATAACATGGACCGTTGAGATCTCAAGGTTGCATCTGTAAAGGCAAAATGCAACACTTAACAGAGGCAGCATTGTTCACACCAGACAGAGCAATGATTCCCCCGTACTTAAGGGCAAGCACAGTCCACACAATAGCATATTTTGCCCATCCCAAAGCGAGCACACATAACCCCGGGGAGCCCCAAAATGGTGAGTAAGCAGAGGGTCAAGGGAGACTGATTGTTTCACGGCTGTACTGTCCTCTGGGTTTTTGTGCCTTGGGGAGAGCCAACAGTGGTAGGGGGCCTCTATACTGAACACTCTCCCCACATTTTCCACAGGAGTTCATCCTGGAAGATATCTCGCTGCTGTGGGTGACCTGGGAAGCAAGGGAGGGTCTTCTACTACAATGTGGCTTCTGCCCTGGCCCATACGCAGCTTGCCTGTGTGCAGCAATTGTCCCCCCACCCCTCACGGCACAGTGGCGCAGACATGTTAGCCTGACTGGGACAAGGACCACAGTGGCTCTCCCAAGAAACCTGTGCAAGCACATTGCCCAACTTCTGGATGAGACCTTTGAAGAGATCACTGAGGCCGATTACCACGATGTGAGAGAGCACATTAACGCCCTATTTTGCATCTAGGCATGCACGCAGCCCTAACCCTCCTCGCCCCAAGAGCTTGCACCAAACAACTTCCTTCCCAAAATAAAAGCCGCTTACCGTGAACCTCCTCTGGTGTTTGTCCTTCCCCAAGCACCGGCCACCGAGACTGGCTACCTTCCTCCTGGCTTGAGAACAGCTCCTGGCTACATGCATCTAGGGATTCCGGGGTGTCTTCCTCCTCCTCCTCAGCACTCTCGCTCCCACTTTCCTCCTCCTCCTCCTGCCTTGTTGCACTGGGCTCTGAAGTGTCCATGGTGGTCCTCAGAGTGGAGGTGGGGTTGCCCCCAGGTATTGCATCCAACATTTTGTAGAAACGGCAGGACGCGGGGGCAGCACTGGAATGGTGGTTTGCCTCATGGGCTTTGCGGTAGGCATTCCGCAGCTCCTTCACTTTAACCCTGCACTGCTGTGTGTCACAGTCATGGCTCCTTTCCATCATGTCCCTTGATATCTGTCCGAAGGTATCGTAATTCCTATGGCTGGAGCGCAGCTGGGACTGGACAGCTTCCTCCCCCCAAATACTGATGAGGTCCAGCACCTCATCATTGCTCCATACTGGGGATCACCTGGCACGTGGAGACATGGTCAGCTGGAAAGATTCGCTGAGAGCACTCCACACCTGGCTGAGCAAACAGGAAGGGGATTTTCAAAATTCCCAGAGAATTTAAAGGGCGGGTCTGACAGTTGGTCACCTGAGTGCACGGTTGTAGAGTTCAAAGTGATGACCAGAGTGACTAGAACAGGCATTGTGGGACACTTCTGGAGGCCGATCAGAGCGCCCTAACAGACTACACAGGCTGTAGTGCTCCAACAGGGGCACATCAAATGTTATTCCACTCGCCAATGTGGAGTACCAGGAGCGCTCTAGCAGCGGAGTACAGGCGCTCTACGTGCCTTGCCAGTGTGGACGCATCATGAGTTAGGGCACCCAGGGCTGCTTTAATCTGCTCTGACTCACAAGTGTAGCCATGCCCTTAGATTAACACAAGTAACAAAACCAAAGGCTTGCTTTTCTTATCACTACTGAGTTATGCCTAAAACACACTGAGCTGTCAGGTCTCCTAGGCGAGGTTAATTACATGGTACAGGTTTGATGAGCAAGTCAGGTCCTCCTAAATACTGCAGGAATGATCAAGATGCCAGTAACAGCAGCAAGACTGGAGGAACAAACATGCTAAGGAAAGACTCTTGGGTCAAATTAACAAAAGGCTCAGCTTGGTTTCATACACATTTTACTTGTACAAATATGTACTTGCAGTGATGAGCTGCCAAAATCTTAACAACCGGTTCCCTATAAAAAGTTCTGATTTAAGGGATGTGCCACAATATGTATTTTTTGTACCTTTCTCCATAAGAAGGGGCAATGCATTGAGTCACTGGGAGTCGTACTTAACAATAAAAAAAATAAAAAGCATTTTTACACGTTTATTACAATAGAAACAAAGTATTGCTTTCTTAAATGGATTTGAAAAGAAGAAAATATAAAGAAGAGATGCATGAGTAAGCAAACGATAATATTTAAGAATGAAATGCCTATTATTCTTGTCTTTTAAAATATTACATGTGAACTACTTACGTTATTAAAAATAAAAAATGTAATATATTCATGTTGAAGTATACAATGCAACAAGCAATATTTTAAAGAATAAGTACATTATTTATTACTAATTAGGTAGTAATTTCCAAATGGCTTCGTGATCTTCTCCTTAATCTTTGGTGTTGGATACACGAACTCTGGTATCTAATGCGGATTGATGACTTCTCATCCATGCTTTAATATATGGTATTGGGTTCCAGGAACTTAGTGGTTTTCCCAACAAATTGATGGTCATAAAGCTTGAGATATGTGTAACTGTTAAATTCACCCTTTTATCACTACAAATAATATTCATCAACGAAAAAGCTCTTTCTGCTTCTGCAGAACTAATTGCGATTGTGTTCATAATTTGCTTTGCTTTCCTTATTGTTTCCGGATCAGGAAGATGTTTTGATTGAATGTTTTTCTCTACATAGTCACAAAAATCATTTAAATCGACTACAAATTTTATGAATTTGTTTAATTCATGCACTTTTTCTTCTCCTGATTTCCAAGGTAACCTGACTTCTTCAATATTCCATGAAGTGGGATCCATAACATTAAATAATTCAACTATTTTAGGTGTATTACTAGAATGACCTAAATTATCTTCTTTATATTAAATATGATTTTCGTATAATAATCTTGCCTTCATTTTTTCAATAATACACTCTGTTACGTTGTCTCGTAGCAGTGATTTAAACCTTACATTATGTTCAAACTCTCTATGCATTTAAAAAGCACCACTTTCTATCATTTCATTAATTTTATTTTCATGTATACCAAAACTATCTTTTAATTGTATGAAAAAAATCAATCGTTCGTTTGATTAGCTTATCTGCCTTTGTTAAACTCAATTGTCTTGCTTGCAGTGCATTGATAATAATGCAAGTTCATCCAAAATGTCAATCATTAATGCCAAGTCTTTTAAAAATTCTTTGTTTTTCAATCTTTCTTCCATGCCAGAAAATTTCTTATTTTTGGAAAAATAAATATAAAGAGCTGGATAAGCTCTCCAGATCACTTTGACAGCTCTAAGGCTACAAGAAGCCCATTGTGGACCAAAAATACGGCCTATTTTGATTATTTCAATATATAGTTCTTCAGAAACTTGTTTAAGTTTAAACTGACTTTTATTTGACTGATGAAAAATTGCATAAATCTTGTCCAAAAATATCTTGAAATGGCTTATTTCATTGATATCATTTATAGCATCATCTAAAGCAGTTGTAGCTGATGATTCAAACAATGCCAAATTATAATGTTTGGAAAATCTTGAATGAGTCTTGTAGCAACTCCAGATTTATGTCCAAGCATGGTGCTTGCGCCATAAGAACAAAATCCGATTAAATTTTTCTTTAAATATTCTGTGTCAAATCCTGTATCGGTTAACATATTTCTGAAAGCATTGTAAATATTTTCTGCTTTTGTTGATTTTAATTCCACTGAATTGAGAAAAATTGATGAAGAATCTTCTAATTCACATTTTATAAGAATTACAAGCACAGTTTTACTTGAAATTGTAGAAGCTTCATCAATAATAATACAAATATTTGAATTGTTTTCAATGATTTTATCAAAATTTTGTTTTCTTATTAATTCAGCAATATGCTCTACAATTCTGATGGCCAAAAATCGAGAATGTAGGCAGTTCCCTAAATCAGTTTCATTCTTAATTTGTAGCTCTACTTCATCCTCCATATCTAACATTGGTTGGTTTCTTTTTACTAAGCTGTAAACTATGTTGAAAATTTTGCTGGTTATTGCAATATTTTTTTCAGTAACTTTATCAATCACTGTAGTGAGAGGTTCTTTTTTAGATTCATTTAAAATATTTATAACTCTCAAATGAGAGCTTGATTCGAAATGTTCCTTCATTTTTTTTCTTAATGAAGCTTGCTGAACTTTTTTATCAGTTCCAGATGCTTTAATAGTACACTTTTGCCATTCCAAAGAAATGTGTAAAGATTTTCCTCCAAGGACCCCCAAATGTGACATATTTGCACAGTGGGAACAGCCAAGTTTTTTGCCTTCAATTATCAAGCTATTATATTTCTTTAAAAAATATTGTGCCTGCTCGGAAGTCCAATAATCGGGTACTACATTTTCACAATCACGTAAATCCTCTTCCATTGCGGACACATTTTCAGATGATTCAACATTTAAGATATTTTCATTGCCAAAATTATTGTCATTGGCGTTTTCAGTATTTAAATCCTTATTTTCACTACTAGAACTACTGACTAATGATTTTGTCATTTTATTGGAAAATCAGTCACTAATGCTTTTCTGGCTTTTCATTATGAAGGGTAAATAATATTGAATAGAAAACTTTAATCTTCGAATAACAGTCCAGTTAGTATTACACACTGAAATATCACACGCAATTTACTAGAAACAAACAGACCGACTATGATTCACTGGTCGTGTTGAATTGTATAGAAAACAGTTGAGCAAGTGCACGAACGAGGCAAGTGCAACCCCTGTTAATAAAATAATAAACGAGATGTTTGTCTTGCGTCAGGACGAACTTGGATGGACCGAGTCGCAGCCTGAGACATTACATGCGCACGCGCATAGCAACATAAATCTTGAACTATCTGTCATACAAACGGCTCTTTAACTGCTAGAATTCCGCATCCCTTTGCATTTGAAGTTTATTTAGTACACCGTATTACAAGTCTTCATTAATTTAAGGTTTCCCGTGCCAGTTATAAATTTTACATTTACCTGAGCCCCCCACGTAACCCCAGCATGACAGCAGGCTAAGCGGGGCCGATAGCCAGGATCCCATCTGGCAAGGGGCCGGCGGCTGGAACCCCAGACTGTCAGCGGGCTGAGCGGAGTGGCAGACAGAACCCCAGACCGGCAGCAGCTCACCTGCCGCAGCTCTGGGGTTCTGGCCGCCGGCTCCTGCCAGCTAGGGTCCCAGCCACCGGCCCCGCTCAGTTCTGTTCACCCAGGCAGGCAGTGGGCTGAGTGGGGCCAGCGGACCCCGGCTCGCAGCAGCGTGCCAGTAAAAATCGGCTCGCCTGTCGCCTTTGGCGGGCGTGCCGCAGGTTGCCGTCCCCTGCCCTATTATTTTCTACACCGTTTTATAAGATTAAGATTATTCGTTTTAAGATCATTTTATAACATTTGTTTTCCTAACAATTTTTAACATCCGGTTCTAAAACTGCTTCAAAATTTAGCAACCGGTTCCCGGGAACCGGTGCGAACCGGCTCCAGCTCACCACTGTTACTTGCATGTGTAATTGCCCAGCAGGCTGGCCTTACAGTGAGGTGAACTGAGGCGACCGCCTCAGGTGCCAGACTTTGGGGGTTGGGGGGGTGCCACTAGGACCCAGAGTGTGGAAAATTGTGTCTGTTGCTGGTGCATATGTATTCTCTCTGCTCTAGATGCACAGAGATGGTGGAGTGCTGTGCTGGAGGAAGGAGGGCACAAGAGACATAACAGGCAGGCAGGAGAAAAGGTGAGAGGGAATAACAGAAAGCAGCAGGAGCTGCAGGGAGAGAGAGGAGGGGGAGCCTCTTAGGTACCTCTCTAGCACCTCCAGGAGCCTGGACTAATTAATTCTAATTAGCTAATTAGCTTCTCAGGGGGCTTCCTGTTTCCTGCTGCTTCCCTGAACCCACCTGAGGAGAACAGGCAGTCAACTGAAGTAGTAGGAGCCAGTTAGGCCCTTAAGTTGCTGATATCTTCCCTCACTAAGGCCCTGTTACCAGCCTGCTTGTCTGTCCCCTTCAACTGAGCGTTGAGAGCCCTTATAGCTGGCACAGAACAGCAGTCATGAGTGAAAGAAGAAAACGCCCCTCTGGGGCAGCATTCAGAAAAAGCAAGCAAGCAAAGGAAGCTTTTCTATCTAAGCAGGAGGGAGCTCTCCTGAGATACACAGACACAAATGTTCACGGTGAGCCTTCCAGCCCCAGTGAGGATGTGAGTGATGAGGAGATGCCTGATCTTCCAGTTAGTCAGAGTACAGGTGACCTGGCAGCTACTGCAGCATCCATATCTCCATCTCAAATGGATGTAGCCATGCACATTCCTGAAGAAAAGTGTAGCTCAGAGCAGAGTGTGGTGGAGGAGCAAGAAACAGCTGCTGCTGAGTTTAGTTCCTTAAGTCTAGATGATCCAGGACTGTGGACACTCTTGAGCAGTAGCCTGAGGGACTTCCTTGTCCTGCGTGGGCTGTTGGATCATATTAAAGAAGTTCTGTATTAAAATCACAAATGAGTTTGATTCCCCAGAGTTTAAATTCCAGGGTATTACTAATTAAGAGGTCTCTTGGTTTTTGGTACTGTTTCTCTCCCTCTATGTGTGAAACTTGCAAGCTGCTAATTGTGTTAGTACATTCTAAGACAGAGTCTATTCTCAAAGCAATTCACAGAGAGAGAGACTCAAAGCAATACTCTAACAACAGAAACAACACCCAGAGACTCCCCACCCTTTTGTTGTATTAACAATTGTGATTAAAATAGAGATAGAGGATGTATGTGGATGGATGCTTGGTGTGGATAATAACTGAATGATCAGGGAGGTGCCAGCCTAAGAATCCAGTGTCCATCGGCTGAAGAAGGCGTCAAGTGGAAATAACCAGAGGACCCCCCCGGAGGGCAGACTGGAATCCACCCAACAGCCTCAAGAATGGGAGAACCAAAGAACAAGATAACATCTTGGAGCCATCAGGAATGTGCTATCTGCTGATTGATTCAGCAACAGCATGATGAAGCAATTCCCATAGACTGGCATAGGAAGAAATTCCTATAAAAATAGACTCTAAAAAGTGAGAACTTTGGGGTCTGATTCTGCAAACCAACTTCCAGGAGCATCAGATGAGCATCTGACAAGGCCCTGCTCCCTCCTCATGTCCAGGCCACCTGGCCAGTGGCTTGGCATGAGCAACTCTAAGGCTGGTAACTATGATAACAACCTTGCAGAACCTGTGTGTGTGTGTGTGTTTGTATGAATGAATGTGTGAATAAATATGAGATTGAATGGAATATTATAACTATAACTAACTGCTTACTAGGATTCTTTCTGTATTCACAGTAAATGTGGTATTTTGCCTTTTCCCCTTTAATAAGATCCTGCTGGTTTTTATTTTATTGGTATAACAGGGCCACAGTGAGTGAAAAACTTCATGTTCCCCAAAGACAATGAAAATAGAAGTTTCCATCCAACACATTACTGGCGTGAAATCCCCAATGGTGACAAAGTGGAGAGGCCATGGCTTATGTACTCAAAAACCCAGAATGCGGCATACTGTTTTTGTTGCAAACTCTCCAGTCTAATGTTCCAGCCACACTGGGTTCTACAAGAACAAAGGACTGGAAAAATCTGGCATGCCATGAGACGGCAGCAAATCACCAGAGAGCATTCCATAGGTGGAAAGAGCTTGAGATGAGACTATGGTAAAGGACACCATAGATGATAAGCATCAAGAGAAGATTGCATCAGACTCTCTTTACTGGCAAAATGTTCTGAAAAGGCTCATTGCCAGTGTGAGAATGTTTGCTACCCAAAACCTAGCACTGCGTGGCACTTCAGATCAGCTGTATGTGCCAAACAATGGAAACTTCCTTAAAATTGTGGAGCTGATGGCTGAGTTTGATGCTGTACTCCAGGAGCATCTAAGAAGAGTCACCACCCAAGAAATGTACACACACCACTACCTTGGAAAAACAATTCAAAATGAGATCAGACAGTTACTGGCAACAAAAGTCAAACAGAAGATTGTGGCAGATCTGAAGTCAGCAAGATTGTACTCTGTTATTCTGGACTGCACACCTGACATCATCTATACGGAACAAATGAATTTAATGGTGAATTTTGTAAAACAACAATGTTTTGGAACATTGGGAGGAAACCCCCGGGTTCTGGGAGGCTCAAAGTATTTGTCCAACCCTAAAGGATTTCAGTGGTTCCAGATCAGACCAATTAATATTGATGAACTGATGAGAGACAATGCCACACTTGCAACTCTGGGATGGGTTTACATACAGCTTTCATTTTTTAAAAAAAGGTACACAGCAAATGCCTTATTACGCCTGTTGATTAAAAAAAAATTGCAAGTTACAGTCTGGTCCCATGTAATGGGATATGCTGCTTAGAGCATTGGGTTACTGGTTGCAAAAGAATACAACCTATTTGAAAGGACTTTATTGACTCAGCTGAAGTCTTCAGTAGGTCTTCAGCAGAGGGTGGGGCCGGTGGCTTTTAGCAGTAATGTATTATCCTAAAAAAGCACATTCCTTTTGTTTTTCTCTTTGTGTGTCTTTCTTCTTTAATACCTGGAATGGAATGAGGAAACTAAACTTATCCATGGCTGACTCTAGTAGCAGAAAATGTGAATTTCATGTATTCACCTGCAGCTCTTTGCTTCACCTCCATTCTTTACTTTCCCCATTGACAGATATAAATCCACATTGTTTCCAAGTAGTATATTACAGAAAAAGGCCATGATTCTCAACTGCCTTGCACCTTGGGTAATCACCCACCTCTGTGCAAGGTAGGAGTAAAATTCTGCCATTCAGATTTTTTACAATTGTCACTACAAAGGGCAGTGCAGTATCAATCACATCCAAGGTATGTTGGCCGATAGCATAAATTAGATCCAATGCTCCATATTGTTAAATGAAAATGAATCAAATGAAATTGAGCCAGACTGTTTGAAAGCTGAGTGAATAACTGATTTATTTTTCAGTTAGATGGCTGTTTCAAAAACATTTTTTTTCAATTTTTGGTGAACCAAAATGTCTAAAAATAAGTTCAGGTCAACCCAAAAGTTCAGTTTTCAAACTTTTTTTTAAAAAAATTTCAAATGTTAAAAATAAAATTGAAGTAAATTTCAAAATTAAGTCATTTCAAATTGAAAAATCAAAACATTTCATTTGAAAATATCAAAATGAAATGTTTTCAGTTGTTTGTTTTGGGGGTTTTTTTGTGGGTGAAGTGGGGTTTGACTGAAACAATTGGTGAATTGACATGAATATGAGGTAGACTCAAATCTGCATTTTTCAGTGAAACAAATCATTTTGGTTAAAAATGTTTGCCTAGTTCTAGACTGTTTACAAAATATTGAGAAACAAAGCTGGGAAAGACAGTAGTGACCTAAAGTTCTCCCTTGTCCATGCTTTTGTCTCATTTGGAAGTTCCTCTCTTTGTAAAGTTACATAGTTTCTATTGTGAAGAGGAACGATGGTTTAGTGGTTAGAGCACAGGATGGGAGTCAGCAGTTCTGCCTTCTGTTCCCACCCCT